AAAATAATTTCCTAATAATTCCCAATTTGCTGTTTGTTCTATGAATATTTTATTTGAGTTATTGAGATGTTCAATTCTTTATTTCTCTGTTTTAATATAATTTCTATTCTTCTACTAATAGTTCCTATCTGCTAACTCACACAGATAATTTTTGTAATTATTTGAATGCAATTTCCTTAACTAAAAAAAAATTTAAATAGCTTCTTTCTAGTCTTTATTATGTTCACTATCTGTACAATTTGGGGATCAGTTTCTGTTAACTGGTTGGTTCTCCCCAGCCATCTTGACTGTGGGTCTTATTTCCTATTTCTTTGCATGTCTAGTAATTTTTTGTTTGTGTGCCTGATATAAATAATACATTATAGAGACTCCAAAGTCTGTTTTTTGCTCTCAAGAATATTTACCTTTTTTTCTAGTAGGCTCTTCAGTTATTGTTGCTCACCTTGAACTTGTGTATGCTTGGTTTTGTGCTTTATTAGGGCAGGTTTATGGAAAAGTTATTCCCAAGTTCCTTTAGTGTAATAGAACTCAACTCCCAAATCTACCTCTCCTTCAGACAGGGCTTTGTTTCTAGCATTGTTACAGTATGTCTAGGTGGGATCCTTATTCCTGAAGTGAGGACATTCTGGCATCTCAGCTGGTCCCAATCCCATTTAATCCTGTAGCCGCCACACTCTGTTAAGTTCCACATAGTATGCATTGAATCATGCATTGCCCGGTCCTTGAACAAGGACTCAAGGACTTGTAAGGAACCCCCACAGTCCACAGCACCCTCAAAACACCCAGCTCCCATTTTGCTACCTCATTCCCTCAGATTTCAGCCCTCTAGCTTTCCCAAATTCTGATCTCTGCCACCCAGCTTAACATGACTGCTGTGTTCTACCTGGAATTTGTGGTCAGAACATTGTCCCTTGGCAAAGAACACTGAGGCTTGCTCATCAGCTGACCTCCTCTGCCTGTTGTCTGTCTGTAAACAGTTACCATGTGTGTTTTATTCACTTTCATGGTTGTTTACAGTGAGATGACTAGTCTGGTATCAGTTACTGTATCATAACCACTTTTCTATGTCCTTGCTTTATGAAGGATAAGCCTATTTATTTGCCAGTCATAGTTCTTCATTGTGAATCGTACTTTTTATCATTGTTTAAGTGTCATAGATGATCTTAGTGCTTTGGCTCTAAATTTAAATTTTTTCTATTACTAAATGGGCTCCCTATTTTTCTTGTTTTCATTTTCCCTGTATATCTGCCAGTCACTCCTTTGGAGTCTCATACATAGCAGAGATCTGCATTTACCTTTGGAATCTGACCATAAAACTGTTGAGTATATTTGAATTTTTATTATCTTATGTAAATATATAGAGCGAATACTAGGAAAATAAGGTGGTTCATGTCAGGTGGAAAAGAAGGAAATAATGCTAATTTTTTTTCATTATTTATGGTGGAATGTCAGATAATCTCTCAAGTGGGAGGTTGACTATTATGTCTTTGACTGCATATGACAAACAATGAGCAAATCAAGTGAACTTAACCCACATCCTCTCATTACCTCCTTCCATATTTCTGTTTATTACATAACCAGTTCTATAACCATAATCCCCATGTTTTAAACTTAATCCTGCAGGTAAGCAGACTTATCACTGTCTGCCAGACCATTTGCTGTAGTCCTCCAGTTATCTTTTATAAGAGTGAAGTTAATCTTCTTGTTCTTCCAGAAGAGCTTATGGGAGCAATATTCTTTTGAGTTCTTACATGTTCAAAAATGTGTATCTATTGTTTTTAAGAGTTGAGTGACAGTTTGGCTGGATGTAAAATTTTTGGACCACACTTCCTTTCTCCCCCTGTGAGCATCACTCCACTGTCTATTGGCACAGATATAGCCATAGAACATTCTGAGGACAGCCTACACTTTATCTTCATAATCTTTTTACCTGACTACCAAAAAGACTTTAGTAGCTATTAGATCTAGTATTTTACTAGAACATATCTTTTCTTTCTTTCTTTTCTTTTTCTTTTTTTGGTACCAGGGATTGAACCTAGAGGTACTTTACCACTGAGCCACATCCCCAGCCCTTCTTTATATTTTATTTAGAGACAAGGTCTCGCTGAGTGGCTTAGTGCCTTTCTAAGTTGCTGAGACTAGCTTTGAACTTGTGATCCTCCTGCTTCAGCCTCCTGAGCCACTGGGATTAAGACGTGTACCACCACACCTGGCTAGAGTATATCTTTTTTTTAATTTATTTTTCAGTTTTTGGCGGACACAACATCATTGTTTGTATGTGGTGCTGAGGATTGAACCCGGGCCGCACGCATGCCAGGCGAGCACGCTACCACTTGAGCCATATCCCCAGCCCCAACTAGAGCATATCTTAATGTTGATTGCTACATAATCTTTCTTTGGACTTAAATTGTAATACTTCAATTTCAAGAAATTAATATTGCTTTTCTAAATCAGTGAGTCCCAATATCCCATCTCTCATTACCCTCCTGTATTCTCTCCTATTCATTTGAACTTTTTATTTTCCTAATTTTTCTCATTTTTTATCCTTCCTGCCCTCCATGTTCTTCCTGTCTTTTTTCAGGGTCTACTCCTGTTTCTGCTTCCCTTTCATTTCTTTGAGTTTTTTCTTCCATTTATTTTTTGATCTCTGCCATTTCTAATCTCCTCTGTATTTTGCTTGTTTTATAGAAGTAATTTGTAGAGGTAATTTAATTCATGAAGTTTTATTTTGTTAATTTATGGCTAAATTGCTTTGTGACCCTTTCCATAGCCTTTGATAAATCCTGTCATTTGTTTTTCCTGTTTCTCTCCTCTTTTTTCTTTGTGCTATCTTTGTAGAAATGGTGATTTCCAACTGAAGATAATATGGCCCTATTAGGAGGCTCTTAAGAAAAAAAGGCTAAAGGGCTGGGGATGTGGCTCAAGTGGTAGTGTGCGTGAGGCACTGGGTTCCATCCTCAGCACCACATAAAAATAAAATAAAGAAGAAGAAGAAGAAAAGTCTGATACAAAGACTTCTTGGTACCCATGGCCAGGCCACACACAGAGAATCAATTAGTGGAGAAAAATCGCTATCATTAGGTGTCACAGTGTTGGCAAAGTGCCTTTGTCATTAAGTGTGGGAACAGAGATGCCAGATACTTTGCAATGCATGGTACAGTTCTACATAACCAAGAATGCTGTGTAATAGTTTTTCTTTTTTTCTTTTTTTTTTAAGAGAGAGAGAGAATTTATTTATTTATTTAGTTTTTGGCGGACACAACATCTTTGTTTGTATGTGGTGCTGAGGATCGAACCCGGGCCGCACGCATGCCAGGCGAGCGCGCTACTGCTTGAGCCACATCCCCAGCCCTGTGTAATAGTTTTTCATTCGTTACGACCAAATACCTGAAGCAGGCCAACTTTATAAAGACGCTTATTTAAATTAAAGTTCTGGAGGTTCAAAGTCCAAGTTTGGTTGGTTGACCCAAAGGTTTGTCCTCAGGAGGGCCCAGTGGTGGATGGTATCATATCAGGATGGGACCATGTGTAAAGGAATAGATTACATCAGCAGGCAGGAAGCCAGAGAGTCTGGGGTTCCAAAATTCCTTACAAGGGCACATCCCCAACTGAGCTAAGGATCTTCCATTAGACCCCAACTCTTAAAGATTTCATACCATCATCACCACACTGAAGACCAGACTTGCAACACAGAAACCTTTAGTGAGCACATACTTAAATATACTCAAACCACAGCATATTGTGACTATGAAGGCAGCTTTGATTCCTTACTCACTTCTGGAGGCATGTGTCAGGGGGCGGTTAAGCAGGAGGCGTCCCATTTGCCCAGCACTGAGCATGGGGGCACTTGGACTCTAGAGAAGACCAATATTCTGACAACTTCATGCAGGTAGAAAGAACCTATGTAATTCCTTGTTTTGCCCAGTGCCCTCCTGCCCATTTCTCAGAACCAACCAGAGACTAGGTTTCACCCACAGCCCAGTGAGCAGCACTACTGTACAGCTTTTCTTGCCACCCCCGGTGTTGTCTCCTTCATTCTGTGTCTTGCTCCATTTTCTGTTGCTATACTAAAATACCTGAGACTAGATAATTTATAAATAACAGCAGCCACAGTTCTGGAAGTTAGAAAATCCAAGAGTATAGTGCCAGTATTGGGTGAGGGCCTTCTTGCTTCATGATGCCATGGCAGAAGGCATCCCATGGTGAGACAGAGCAAGTGTGCTAGCTCAATTTTTTTTTTTCTTATAAAAAAGCACTAATACCATCACAAACGCCCCATCCTCGTGACCTCATCTAATCCTATTTACTCCCAAGAGTTCCACCTCCAAATACCATCATCATAAGAATTGAGGATTAATTTTTCCAACACATGAATTTTGGGGGTGGGGAGCATATTGAAACCACAGGACCCTATCTGCACCCTGTTGGTTCCTACTCTTGTCAGCTCTCCAACCCCTTCCATGTTTCAGTGTTTGACTTAACTCTTAGTGTTTCTGAAGATGAAATTTGTGTTCCTTATTCCCCTTGCGCTTTGAGGTAGTGGCCGGGAAAAATACTGACTTCATGGGTGCAGTCAAGTTAGAAATGTTGCCTCTTACTTAGGGTACAGTATATTTCCCATTATGAGGGATCCTAGGAAAGTTGTGTTGAACTGTCTGCTGAGGGCTGGAAATTCCCTGTCTACTGACCCAAGGGCTCCTTGCTGATGAGCGTGGGAGTCAGAGCAGGTCCAGAGAAGAAGCAACTCTGCAGGGTTTCAGGCTAACCTGAGGGATATCTGAAGTCTCCCATCATGGCCAAGGGTTTGGCAGAGAGCAAAGAATTTGTGAGGAAGAAGACAAGGAGGAGGAGCTCAGCCACAGGAAGCACATAGCTATCAGGGAACCCATGGCTATCTCCTGGTTCCAGTTATGGGATAGGACAGCAGGATATTCATGGTCAGGTCTAACACAGGCTTAGGAACAGCCTAACGTTTCTCCCCTCCACCCTCTCTGTTACAGGTGTGCCACACTCATGAACTCACCAATCCTGGGATTGCTGATGTCATGATCCGGCCAGATCGAAAGATCCTGGCTACTGCAGGTTGGGACCATCGCATCCGCATATTTCACTGGAGAACAATGAAACCACTGGCTGTGTTGGCCTTCCACAGTGCTTCTGTCCACTGTGTGGCCTTTGCTGCTGATGGCTTGTTGGCTGCAGGATCCAAGGACCAGCGCATCAGCATTTGGTCACTGTACCAACGCACATGATCTGGGCACTCCCTTTTTGAAATACTCAAAAGACTGAAGGTGGGCCTCTCACTCCAGCCTTGACCCAGTCATGTGAAAACTGATGCTCAAAGGCCTTTGAGGATCATCAGCTATGGTCCAAAGAGCATGGAGTTCTTACTGTCTTTATGAGGCTTGCTATTTCTTTCATGAACCACATTGTCCATATGACGATATCTCTGGTGACCTCCCAAATACCTGGCACCTGTGGCCTGATGATAGGCATGGTTCTTGCTGATGCCAAATGGCAAATAGCTCTGTCCAACAGCTTTGTCCTCACTGAAACAAAGCCATGAACACAGTGCCTAATGGCCCATTCTTGTCATCCTCATCTTCTGTGGGTACTCTAGAAAGAATGGCCTTGGAAGGATGAGGTGAACAGCAGGAGAGGGGGTCAGGCCTCACAAAATGGTCACCCTCCTGCAGCCTTACCTGCACTACTCCCAGGCCTCCAAAAGCCCCTGAGGCAGCATCTGCCCTGCCTCATTTTTGACCCTGAGGTCCCTGGGTATACAGTACCAACATTCTTGAGAACCTCTGGTCCAGGCACTAAGCCCCATGGGTGGGGCCTCTACCACCCCACCCTACCCCCATTTATGTCCCCATTGTCTTTGGCATTATCACAGTAATCACAGAAATAGAATAGAGCTGGGGCTGAGGATATAGCTCAGTGATAGAATCCTAAGTTCACTCCCCAGCTGTTGGGGGGAGGGGGGACTAGGGCCAACAGCCATGAGGCATGTGTTCCAGACAAAGGATAAGAATGCTGTGAGTCAATGGGAAATCTGCTAAATGCAGAAATGTTCTCTTACAAAATGTCTAAGGAGAGCTGCTGCTCATGGACTGCCAATATCTCACCTGGAGACAAAAGATGGTAAAAAGGTGGTATTGGCGGAGACACATACCTGGCATCTGATCCCTGGCTCTTGCTTTTTTTTTTTTTTTTTTTGTCTCATGCATGCTAGGCAAGTGCCCTACCATGGAGCCACACCCCCACATCCCCTGCTTAAGGGCACAAGCAGGGTAAAATAGGCTGCTGACTAGGAGCCTGGGTCAGAACTATGCAGTGTTGAGCAGTTAGCTGATCATGTCTTGTGGCTGAAACTATAGATAGATAGACAGACAGACAGACAGACTGACTGACTGACTTTATTTTATTTATTTATCTTTAGTGGTGCTGAGGATCGAACCCAGGGCCTCACATATGATGGGCAAGTGCCCTACCACTGAGCTACAGCCCTAGCCCTTGTGGCTAAATCTTTTTTTTTTTTTTTAACATTTCATATATTTTTATTTTTATATTTTTAGAAAATCATTTCATGACAGAAAATTGCTATAATCAACAAATATTTGAAGTAAAAAAATTATGTATACAAACCATAGTGTTTGACAATAAAAGATTCTAATTTCATATGTTGGCATAATCATTTTCAATGTTTCCTAAAATTACAACATTTTGTCATCAAGTGGCCTTGTGGCTAAATCTTGATGTGCGGGGACAAAGGCAGCGAATAGGCCCTCAACCTTGTATGCTTCATATGGTCCTATTCCTGCATACCAGCCATGAGCTTTGTATGGCTGGATAAGGTAGGCTGTGTTCCACCCTTCAAGCAGATTCATGTCCTCCAAAGCACTATAGCTGGTGGTGTGGAAAGCTGGTGGCCCAGGATTTCTGCTTGCTCAGCTGAGCTTCCTGGAATAGCAGTGAAACCAACTCTATGAGAGCACTGGAGTCCAAGAGTCTTGACTGATGTTTGTCCAGTTTATGTCCTACCTGATGACCATTGCTCTGGCACTGGGAACCTAATTTTGGGTCCCTCCCTTCCCCTTGCCCTAGCATCCCTAGAGGAAACCCAGCCCAGGATAGCCCCTGGTACTTCTTTTTTTTTTTTTTTTAATATTTGTTTTTAGTTGTAGGTAGACACAATAACCTTTATTTTATTTTTATGTGGTGCTGAGAATCGAACCCAGTGCCTCACGCATGCTAGGCAAGCGCTCTAAAACTGAGCCACAGCCACAGCCCCTGGTACTTCTGATGTAAGGTTCAAATTCAGTATTCACCATGATAGGAAACAAGTTCAGGCTGAGGATGTAGCTCAAAGGTAGATCGCTTGCCTAGCATGTACAAAGTCCTAGGTTTGATTCCCCGCATGCACGCGCGCGCGCACGCACACACACACACACACACACACCCTGAATTATTACTTTCAGATCCTCCTGGGTAAGGAAAGTACAGTGAGTCAAGAGGACAGTCCTTCATCCACAGATCATACAAAACAGGAATGGAGAGTCAGGCAAAAAGAGCACAACTAGTAGTATATATAGGACAAGAGTACGTGAGTTGCTTTAAATTTATAGGCAAGTATTTGACTGATCTGTTTAAAGGAAACAGCCTGAAAAGTGGAAGCCCAGTCTGCTAGGCAGGAGAGATACCTTCAGGTTCTTATGTCTGGTCATGGACTTGAGCCATGTGTGTAATGTTCTGGTGCCCAGATATCCTCCTGTCCAATGCCACAGAGTGGATTTTCTCCAGTTACCAATTTATCACAATAAAAATAGCCTATTTTCCTTAGAGGTGCTGCTATTCCCTGGATCAGTCAGTAAGGCCTTCCTGAGAAGTCAAGAGGCTAGTGGTAGTCATCCATCTCATATAGATAGACTACACAACAGGACTTGGGCAGGCCACCTATTTCCTTTCCCCATCACACCTGGAAGTGGCAGTCAGTACACATCTGCTGACAGGTGTGAGCCCTTCTGCTCTCTGAGGACTACGTACCCATGTGCCCACAAAAGTGGTGCTCTGGGAAAACATTCCTAGGGCCCAGCAACTTTTCTGCATACTCTGCATACATGGTCTGCAGGATCCAGGTAGCTTTGCAAATATAGCCCCGTGATTTTCTTTCCATATTGAAATGCCTTTTCTGACTATTTCAGCTGCTAACCAAGCAACCTTCTTTAGGACTTGAACTTAAGTGCTTATTTCCTTCATATCATTTTAGTATTGCACCAACCAGAATGGCTAAACCATGAGGATTCAATACTGTGGATCAGCATTATCTTCTAAGCAAACAGAAAAGAAAATGTGATTCACAGGTGACACCTGGAGTTCCATGCAGTGTCCCTGGGATGAGCCTGGGGATGGTGGCTCCTGAAGGCAGTATGTTGGACTCCATCCTCACTCATGCAGCAAGACATTTCCCAGTGCATCCAGCCTTCAACTGAGAGGCACAAATTTCATTTATCTGCCTCTCCAAATGTTCTTCCATAACATTCTTTGACATAGTGGGGAGGCCACTCACAACCAAATAAAACTGGTGTTTAGAAGTAGCAATAGACATTTCTTGTGTTCTGTGCTGAGTCTGATTGGTGTATTCTACCTTTTTTTTTTTTTGTACCTGGGATTGAATTCAGGGGCACTTGACCACTGAGCCATATCCCCAACCCTATTTTGTATTTTATTTAGTGACAGGTCTCACTGAGTTGCTTAGCATTCACTTGCCATTGCTGAGGCTGGCTTTGAACTCACAATCCTCCTGCCTCAGCCTCCCAAGCTGCTGGGATTACAGGTGTGCACCACTGCGCCCAGCTCCATAATGTTCTTATTGGAAGAGTTTCTGTGGGTCAGGAACACAGTCGTGGTGTGGTCATCCTCTGCTCAGGGCCTCACAAGGCTGCAGTCAGGGCAGCCTGGGCTCCTCTCCTATTCAAACCCAGATCCTGTGGCTGTAGGATAGAGCTCACAGCTCCATGGTGTTGACCCAGGACCCTAGGCCCCTCTCATCAGTACACTGTGAATAGTAGTGTATCTTCACAGTGAGCAGGAGTGGTCTTGGGATAGTCTGTTCAGTGACTTGGGTGCCCCAGGTGGGGTTCAGATAGGCTGCAGAGCTGATGAGCTCTAAGAGATATCCAACATCCCCAGCTCCCACCTCTGGTATAGGGTAGGGGCACCTCATAGGAACAGAAGAAGGTGTGCAGCTCCAGACAGGGGCACCAAGGCATATTCTGGCATGTCTACCTGGTAAGGTTCTACCTCTAGAGGAATCTGCTACCAGTGCCAAGGGCCTCCTACCTTAATATTCAATGCTACCATGTGCCACTCATTCAGCCCCATGGATGCAGTCATTATCCACCCAGCAGGTGGGCAACACTTATCCAGTATTATGCTGTCCCTCTCTGACAAATGGCCCTGGGAATGCTTTCTTCTTCCCCGCCCCCAAGTGTCCCAGACACGATCCTAATCATGAACTCTGGGAATAGGTACTCCAGACCCTGCATTTTGCCACTGGTGACCTTACAGATGGCCTGGGCTCAACACCTGGATGCTAAGGAGTCAGTTGACACCATGAAATTATCCAAGGAAGGACTCCCAAAGCAATGTGTCCAGGGAAGCCACCACCACAGCCTAGGACTTGCAATGTTGGCGTGAGGTGCGTGTCTCCACACTCCTCAGGCAGTGATGTTCACTCAGGTGTTTCCCATCTGTGTCTGCCAAGAAGCTGCAGAATTCCCTCTGCACAAAAGGACTGTTTGCACAAAGAGAAAACATCCCTTCAGGGGGTTCTTTAGAAATGCTTGATTCTCAACTAGCTATAACTTCATGTGGAAACCTAGTGTGGCAGAAAACAAGCTTGCACTGATGACAACATTAAAGCTGAACTTGCTGTGCACTTGTGCCCTGTGCAGGCGAACTATCCAGCCAAGCCATGAGCCCCACCAGCTCCACAGCTCTGGGAAGAAGCGGCTGCTCCAGGGTCTACCTGGACTCACCTCTTCATACCAGGTTTTCCAGCATGCCCTTCCTGTGAGTGGTTTTCACATCTACCTTAGGAATGAAAGTCCTCTTGGGAAACTCAGCAGGTGAGGCCCTTCTGAGATTTCCCTCTCACTGTTAGCTTACCAGGGTCTGTGAGCTACTGCTCAGCCCCCATCCCCAGTGCTGGTTCTTAGTGGGCCCCTGTGAAGGAGCCAGGCAGCAGGGAAGCAACTGCTTCCCTGCAAGAGGCACAGATGAGAAGGGCCAGGTACCTGTTGCTGAGCAGGGCAGATTGTCCACCAGGCTAAGACTGGCTAGCTCTACAATAAAGATTCTAAGGTTCTGCAACAAAGGGCAAATAAGGAATAAAACTATGGACCAAGAAGAAGTAGGACATGGCCATGGGTGGGCCAAAAAACAAAAAAATGAGTGGCAGTTGCTCATGGCTTTTAAATGGGCTGTTTTCACATTCCATCCCTGCTGGCCAGGGGAGGGGGGAACACTAAGATCAACAGTGCATCCATCCACTGCTGCCTGCTCTACACATGTCAGTAAAGTACACCCTGTGTGCTGTCCACAGCTGTCCTTGCATTTCAGCATCAGAGATCATGGGGCCTTCAGAGCCACAAACATTTATCACCTGGCCCTTCACAGAGACATGTGTTGGCCCCTATCTTAAAAGATAGCTGCTGGCCTAGGGATGTATCTCAGGGGTAGAGCACATACCTAGTGTGTGTAAAGCCCTGAGTTTCATCCTGGCTACCACGAGCGGGGGAAAAAAGATTCCATGTGATGGGTAAACATGGGGGAACTTGGTTGCTGCCACAAATATGTCAGAGCAGCACTGGAGCTCCAAGGGCCTCCTTCATGAGGCCAAGATGGCTCGCACATCAAGCCATGACTTCACTATAGACTGTGAAGACAGATGAAACTGACAGGCCAGGAATTCTCACTGTCACTCAAACAGAAAAAAACTTAAATGGTATAGAAGAAAGACACTGGGATATTTACATAGGACAAGTATGACTGAGAGATGCTTATATTTGTATTTTTATAGATGTATAATATTGAGAAATTGGGTCATTTGGTTTCATTCTGTTGTAGTTGTCTGTGACTACATTAATATGACACCAAAAACTTTGCAATGTAATGCAGCCATTCTGTACACCTGAAGGCTGTAGTCAGGAATTCAGGAGGGGCTCTAACTATGTGGTTTGTCTCTACTCCACATGGTGGCAGCCAGAGCTGGCATATCTACTTCCACTAAGGCTTCTGCACTCATGTGCCAGGCACTTAGGCAGGGGCCACCAAAAGGCTGGGCTTTTGGGGGACCATTAACACAGGACCTTTGTGTGTCCTCTCAAAGTGGTGGTCTCAGGGGAGTAAAACTCCTTACAAGTGGGCTCTAAGAGCAAAGCCAGCAAGCTGGATAGAGCCCAGAACCTTCTATGACCAGACCTGGAGTCAGGAAGGAAAATAGACCTCAAATCTTGGAGGAAGGTCTAAGTGTTTTCAGACTTTAAAAACTGAAGCTCAAGCTGGGGTTGTGGCTCAGTGAGTCGTAAAGTGCTTGCCTAGCATGTGTGAGGCACTGGGTTCTATCCTCAGCACCAAATAAAAACAAGGTATTTGGGGCTGGGGTTGTGGCTCAGTGGTAGAGTGCTTGCCAAGCATGCATGAGGCCCCAGCACCAAATAAAAATAAATAAAATAAAGGTATCGTGTCTATCTACAACTAAAAATATTTTTAAAAGATACATTTTAAAAAATAACACACTGTGTCCATCTATGACTAAAAACACCAAATTAAAAAAAAAACTAAGGCTCATCCTTGGTTCTTTATGTAGCCAGAAAAAGTGAGCACAGACAACTGAGACTCCAGAAACAGGGGAATGAGCTAGGATCTATATGAATGATTTTCACACACCATCAGAAGATGGGAGGGTCTAGCTGTATGCCCACTCCAGGCTTGCGTGGCCATACATACACAGGCAGTGATCACTGTGGCCATCACTCAGCTCTGCTTAGATGTGTTAAAATGAAAGGAGCTGGGAGTGGTGGTGTGCACACCTGTAATCCCAGCACCTAGGGGAACTGAGGCAGGAGGATTATAAATTCAAAGTTAGCCTCAGCAAAAGCAAGGTGCTAAGTAACTCAGTGAGACCCTGTCTCTAAATACAATGTAAAATAAGACTTGGGATGTGGCTCAGGGATTGAGTGCCCCTGCGTTCAATCAAATAACAAACAAAAAAAAGCCAGCCTCAGCAACTTAGCAAGTCCTCAGCAACTTAGTGAGACCCTGTCTCAAAATTTTAAAAAAATATAAAAATAAAAAGGGCTGAGGATGTTGCTCAGTGGTTAAGCACCCTTGGATTCAATCCCCAGTACCAAAAAAAAAAAAAAAAAAAAAAAAAAAAGAAGAAAGGAAGGTTTATCATCCTAACATATCAGGGCAGTATTTCCATATGAATTGAGATATCTCATGCACACAAACCCAAAGAATTGCACATCTCAGGAAGAGATGCCAAAGTGTCAGAAACTGAAAGTAAATATGAAAAATGAGCTGTAGTAATGAGTTCCTCAACATAAGCCCGGCACGGTAGTACATGCTTGTAATCCCAGCTACTTGGGAGGCTGAGGTAAGAAGATTGCAAGTTCAAGGGCAGCCCTGGCAATTTAGTGAGCTCTGTCAAAAAAATAAAAAGAACTGGGGATGTAGCTTTGTGGGAAAGCACCCCTGTGTTCAATCCCCAGTACCCCCCCCCCGAAAAAAAATAAGTTTCATAACAAGAAATTTTGTTACAAAAAGAGACTCAAGCATCAAAAAGAATAAGGGACTGGGCTGGGGTTGTGGCTTAGTGGTAGAGTGCTTGCCTAGCATGTGTGAGGCCCTGGGTTCAAGTCTCAGCACCACATATAAATAAATAAAGTCCATTGACAGCTAAAAAAAATTTTTTAAAAGAATAAAGTACTTAGGAGTGAATGTAACAAAGGTGGTGAAAAATTCATACTTTAAAAACTATAAAACAGGGCTGGGGTTGTGACTCAGTGGTAGAGCGCTTGCCTAGCATATGTGAGGCACTAGGTTCAATTCTCAGCACCACATATAAGCAATTAAATAAATAATAAAGGTTCATCAATAACTAATAAAAATATTTTAAAACTACAAAACATTGCTGAAAGAAATTAAAGACATAGCCAGTCATGGTGGCACATGCCTGTAATCCCAGTTACTTGGGAGGGTGAGACAGGAGGATTGAAAGTTTGAAGATAATCTGTACAACTTGGCAAGACCCTGTATCAAAATAAAAAATTTGTAAAGAGAGCTAGGGGGTGCTGGGGATGTGGTTCAAGTGGTGGCATGCTCGCTTAGCATGCCTGAGGCACTGGGTTCAATTCTTAGCACCACATAAAAATAAAATAAAGATATTATGTCCACCTAAAAACTAAAAAATAAAGTAAAATAAAAAGAGCTAGGGGTGTAGCTCAGGGGTAAAGCAACTCTGGGTTCAATCTCCGGTACCACAAAAAAAAAAAAAAAATGAAGAAGAAGAAGAAAGAAAGAAAATAAA